CAACTGGAGATTCATCTTGTAGGAGCAGAATAATGCAGCCAACTCATGATTCTTTCAGGGGAAGCAGGATTCGTTGGAAAAAACAGATAACAGAAAAGGGGTTCACTTTAGTTCCCCTTTTCAGCCTGCTTTGTGAGCCCTTAGCAAAAGCGGAAGAAAGCTGCAGACAAGCTAATTAGAGTTTTACCTCTTCACTATGTGCTGCCTCTAGAGCCAAAGCCAATATGATCTGGAGACACCCAGGGGGTGGCAGCAGGAGGGCAAGTGGGCAGAAAAGCAAGAGGCTTTCTGGGAAACCAAGAAGTGAGTTTGCCATGTAGCCATCTTATTGTATGCTGGTCGTGCAAGGTGGGGAGCCCATGGTACTATTGGAGGATGTTTTGCGCGATCCTATAGTCCAGGAGAGTTGGAAGCTGGAAAGAGTTGGAAGCTAGAAAAAATCTTCATACCTAGAACAAACAGTTTTCAATCATGGCAGTTCAATTGCTAGAGGATTTAGCCACAGAACTATTCTAGGGTAGGATTTTTCTTGAGGCCAGCCACTGATAAGACCCTAGAACCCAAGGAGTGTTCGTTATGGCCCCTGCTCTTGGCCAGAGCTGAGGCAAGATGTGAGGCCAGGATGCAGAGGAAGAGGCGGAAACCTGAGTGGTGAAGAGTCCTTCTTCACCCCCTTCACTTCACACCTGCAGTTCTGCGACGGTGGCAGCCTTGGTACATGATGCTGCTGTCTTCATCCCTTCATTCTTTCCTCAAAGAGCATTTAGTTAGTGTCACAGTGTGCAGGAGATGAAGGTCAGAAGTGAAGTAACCGTACACCCTGTCCTCAGGGAGCTCAGAAATTAGTGAGAGGGACAGGCACAAGAGCTAACTGGAAAGAAATGTGGTCTAGAACAAGAGCATGCCCAAATGCTATAGAATTACAGAAGGAGCAGTCATTGCTTCCTATTAGGAGGTTGGGGCGCACTTCACCAATCAAGGTTTCCGCGTACTCAGTTGTTGCACAATGGTGTGAATATGCTTAACACGACTGAATTGCACTCTTCAAAATGGTTAGGATAGTAGTTTGATAGTATGTTTTTTTTAAAAAAAAAAAAGAAAAACCACAATTTAACAAAATGATACTTAGCAAAACTCTCCAGTTGAGCTTAGACTGGATAGCCCAGGTCTTCTCAATAGCTATTCACTTCCAAACTATAATAATTTAAAGAATTACAAAGGTGGCTATAAGGAGTGAGAACCATGATAGCACTTGGGCAAGACTTTTTAAATTGAGTAGGATTTTCTCAGATGGAGGTGGGCAGAAAGAGGACAAGGCAAAAGGTAGAGGAAATGGTACAAGTAAAGGCACCAGTGCTGGGTAAGTTGCATCCAGTGAGGGATTATATTGACAAAGGGAAGGCAGGAGGAACTGAGGTGATAATTTTTTAAATTAAGATAAAATTTGCCAACAAAAATTCACTATTTTAACTATTTTTAAGTGCATAATTAAGTGGTTTTTAGTATAGTCACAGTGTTGTAAGATACTACCGCTTTCTAACTCTAGAACATTTTTATCACTCCAAAAGAAACCCTGTAGCCACTCCTGATTCAAATCCAGCACCTGGCAATTTCTGGTCTACTCTCTGTCCCTTTCTTTTTCTTCTCTCCTTCTGGGAATCTCAATATGTGTATGTTGGTCTGCTTGATAGTATCCTATACATCTCTTAGGCTCTGTTCCTTTTTCTTCATTCCTTTTTATTTCTCTTTCTCAGCCTGGATAATCTGCAAGTTTACTGATAATTCTGCTTGTTCATGTCTGCTGTTGAGTCCCTTTAGTAAATTTTTCATTTCAGTTATTTGTACTTTCCAATGCTAGATCTTTCACTGGATTTCTTTTTATAATTTGTCTTTTTGCTAATATTCTCCATTTGGTAAAATATGATTCTCCTGGTTTATATTTTATTTACTATTTATCTACCTTAGCATTACTAACAAATTGAAGTTCCAAGATTTTCTCTTGCCTTCCCTGACACAATAACCTTAACCCCATGGTTCAGAGAGCCAATGTGAGCATGTGTTCTGACTACTTACTCAGGAGCTGGGGAAAATAGCCACAGAATGGGTTTATAGACTCGTGAAACTTAATGTCAGGTGGATTTGTGCCAGAGCACCATGTATTCTCTGGCCCCCATAAACATCCCCTCTGTTGTCTCAGTAAGAGGTCATTTCTTTCCTTCTCTCAAAAGTAAATAAATAAATAAAAATAAAAATAAAAAAAGTAAGAGGTCAGCACCAGCATCAATAATCTCAAAAAGGTTTTAGGATTTCCTTTGCTGTGGTGCATTTACACTGGTAAGCATCTAAGCTCCCTTTCTAGCAGTCTAGGAAGATGTACAGCATCCCGTAATGTTGCTACAATGTCTTTCTTCAAGGACTCCTGACCTCCCTTTGATCAAGGGGGGTCTATGAACTGTCTTAGGTCTTGGAATTGGTTGAAGGGCCATGACGTTCCCATATATGTAAGCTCAAGTCAGGCTTCTGTCTGCCAGATCTAGATTTTCTTTTTCTTTTTCTTTTTTTGAGACAGAGTCTTGCTTTGTCATTCAGACAGGAGTGCAGTGGCACAATCTCAGCTCACTGGACCCTCCACCTCTCAGGTTCAAGTGATTCTCCTTCCTCAACCTCCCGAGTAGCTGGGAATAGAGGCACCCACTACCATGCCTGGCTAATTTTTTGTACTTTTTTAGTAGAGACAGAGTTCACCATGTTGGCCAGGCTGGTCTTGAAATCCTGACCTCAAATGATCTACCTGCCTCGGCCTCCCAAAATCCTTCCCTCCCCTCACCTCCTTTCCCTTTCTTTTTTTTTCCTTTCTTCTTTATTTCCCTCTCTCACTTGCTCACTCTCTTTTCTTCTTTCTCCTGTCTTGCTTTCTGATATACAACTCAGTCTGCCCTTTCCTAGGAGGTCCATCTATTTTTCAGTCCTAGGAACTCTATGATCAATCATTTGGATGACTTCCTTGGCCCCACTTCCGATTACAATGACCACATCCACTTTGTCTCTGGAAGTTGAGCATGGCTACAGGGTGTACTGTGTTTGTACCCTAGGACCCAATCATCCACACCGAGCTCAGGGACCCACTTCAGTGGCAGCATTGCCCACATTCATCTCTGAGCTTCCGAGGATGGCTGCCTCTGTGCTTTTCAAGGATGCTGACATGTGATACTTTTTAAAGTGAATGTGTTTGAGTCTTCTCGGGTACCAAGTTAGGAACTGGCTGACTGAGTTGCAATTTGAACTCTCCTTTCTTCCTAATACTTTGGATCATTTTGTCTAAATTATACCTAGCAACTTTTGGCATCTCGTCTTCAGTCAGCATAGCTTACCATTGAGCCCATAGTTCAAGTGACTGAGCAAGTTAACCCTGCCAGCTGCCAGAGTTAGCTAGCACATTGAATCTGGACACTCTCAAATGCGCCCATATAAGTAAATTCTGCACAATCTAAAATTAGGTTTCCCCTTTGCTAATCTAGGAAAGACACTAAATATCCATTCCCACTGTATAATCCTTAGGTTTTAACCACTATAAATTAGCAAAATCTTAAAATTACTTTGGCGCGTAAGCAGTCTTCTGAGTGTGACTCGGTGAATTTCCCCGTGTTGAATTAATCTAATTCTAGGTGTAGAGGTAAAGATGGAATGGTAGTATGGGCAGAGTCAGTTTCACAGGTCTCTGACCATGCAGCCACACACAGCCTTGTGCTTCAGAGGGTCCCACGCTTGGTTTAATGCTCTGCTGTTGCTGCCTTGAAATTCTCAATAATTTTTTAACAAAGGACTCTGAATTGTCATGTTGCACTGGGGTCCCACAAATCACGCAGCTGGTCCTGAGAGTGGAGCACGAAGACAACTGGGCTTTTATACTAAGGAACTATCTCAGTGAAGGCCACGATGTAGTCCTTAAGCAGGGTGAGGACGGCTTTATCAGACAGGGAAGGAGCGCTGTTTCTGCTAGCGGGAAAGCCCAGTAGGGCTTATGAGTTTAGGGTAATTGGACTGAATGTATCTATTAATATCCTTCATTCCCAATTGGTTACTGAGATTTTTAAATGAGTTGTGGCAAGGCTATCTGACCTCAACCTAAGTTGTCCTATGTCTGGGATTTTTGGCTATGTTGGCTTTGCAGTTGAATCAGTGGACTTTCTGGGTATTTTTGGCCATGGCTTAGGTCAAAATTTTCTTTTTCTTTTGAGATGGAGCCTCATTCTGTTGCCCAGGCTGGAGTGCAGTGGCACAGTCTCAGCTCACTGCAACCTCTGCCTCCTGGATTCCAGCGATTCTCCTGCCTCAGCCTCCTGACTAGCTGGGATTATAGGCACCCACCACCACGCCCTGCTGATTTTTGTATTTTTAATAGAGACGGGGTTTCACCATGTTGGCCAGGCTGGTCTCGATCTCCAGTAGGTCAAGAATTTAAACCCATGCTAGCTATGACCTACATAGTTGACTTCTGGGGTCTGTAGTTAGAGGATTCTAGACTCTACCTGGCTCCTGTTCTTATGTGAGTTTGGAAGTCCCTTGGGCTCCTTGCACCACAAAGGGAAACTAATGGCCTGGATCTCAGAGAGAGTGCCCAGATGGGCTGGCTACCATGCATCAAGGTCCGAATCATTCTTAGAGTGTGAAGTGTAATGTATTCCTACAATTAGCAGATGACAGGGCAGTAGTGGATGACAGTGCAGCAGATAACATGGACCTGGGGAGTCCCCTGTGGCAGGAGATCTCAGTGTGCTTTTCTCAACACATTGATTAATGTCGCTGTTAGTCCCTGGTGAGGAGCCAGGCAGGAGAACACTGCTTTTCTGCAGGTGTGCTGAGACACAGAAATCCCAGGGCGAGATGGGGTGAGGCCATATCCAGACAGGGACAGCAGAGCAGGCTTGAATTCAGGCTCCTCAATGCCCCAGGTGCTACTCACAGGCATTTCCCCTAAACGAACTAAATCACTTTTCCAGGTCAAAGCTGGAAATCCTGGAATCTCCCTGACCCAAAAGAAACACTCATCATCTCACCATTGTGGTTGAAATCGCCGTTTGTATTTATTGGAAAAGCAGAACAGAAAGCACCTGAAAGGGTGCAGCTTCCACGGTTCTCCAAGCACGGGCTGTACATCACCCTTAGGCTGGCCAATCCCTTGCTGGGGAGCAAACCTGCTTTATGGAAATGCCCCCAGGAGGAAGAAACTGGAAGACGCACCTGCTATTGCACCACACTATGGAGAACACAGCTGACGAAGTGATGACAGAGCTTGGCCGTGTGAGTGCCTCAGGTAAAAGTCTCCAATCTGTCTAGTCCAGAGCAGACACTTCTTCTCCTTGGACAGCAGCCTGCCACCAAGACTCAAGCGACATAAGATTCATCTCCCCGGCCAGGCACACATCTGTAATCCTAGCACTTTGGGAGGCCAAGGCAGGCAGATCACCTGAGGTCGAGAGGTTGAGACCAGCCGACCAACATGGTGAAACCCCATCTCTACTAAAAAAAATACAAAATTAGCTGGGCATGATGGCACACACCTGTAATCCCCGCTACTCGGGAGGCTGAGGCAGAGGAATCGCTTGAATTCAGGAGGCAGAGGTTGGGGTGAGTCGAGATCACGCCATTGCACTCCAGTCTGGGCAACAAGAGCAAAACTCCACTTCAAAAAATAAAAAAGAAGATGCATCTCCCCAGACTGGCTGCTAGTACAAGAAGCACCCAGCTTTTTTAAAGGCGGGAGGGTGGAAATGTGACAGTGAGTGCCATTTCCACTGCAGCAGACAGCATCACCAGACCCTGTCGTGTCTGGGTGGTCTCTGGGGGGCGGATCCTGATTAAGGGGCCAGGAGCCTTTACTGCTGGAACAGTGGGGAAGGGCTCTTGTTGGATTAAAAGGCCATGATCAAAAGATAACCAAGAGAAGGCCACTCAGTTGACTTCCGAATCACACAGCTGGGACCCGCTCAAAGGTGCCTGAGCCGTAAGTATAGTGAATAGTCTCATTTTTACTTATAGTACTGTCTTCAAAGTTTTCTTTCCAGAAAGGTGAAGTGCTTTGGTGGGTAAGGAATTGACGTCAGGACAAGTGCTAGGATGAACAAAGATTCCTATCGAATAAACAAGACTTGTTGCTGGGGCGGGGAGCGGGGGTTGTTTGCATAAAGAGGAAGAGACTGGAATCCTGGAACGGCCCCTTTGGGAGCCTGGCTGGGAGTGAGGTCAGGTCACATGATCCCAATAGGTAAGGAGGTGTCTTTGCAGAAGTTCAGAGCATCTTGGGGCACCTCACTTTGAATTCAGAGACATTGGATATAATTACTGAGCAAACACGGAGTGAGAACATAGCAGTGGCTGAGATACTGCTCAGGTTCCTTCTATTTAGGAAGCAGTTTGATGACCCACAACAGGCTGATCGAGGCAATTGCCCCGTGTTAACCCGACCCATAGGTAACGTCTTCAATCCTTCGTAGCTGGTGTTGGAAATCAGGTGTAATTTATCTGTTTAATTACCAGCTGCCCTGCTCCTCAATTCCCTCCCCTGTGATGAGTTCATTAAGTCTTTACCTGCCTCAGCTGGAAGGGAAATGCTGGCTGGATAGGGAGGCCCTACGCGTGTTGATTTTCAGGCATCTTGGGTGCTTTGCAAGGCCACAAATCCCTTCCAAAGATATGGACAGTGAAGCACCAGCAGGTTCCAGCACTAGCTCAGCTCACTCATCAGGACTTATGGTTGACCTGGACTGGTGAGCTGAGGACCACCCTGATTTTCTTCTGAAAGAAAGGCTAAGCCCCTTGATGTCTTTTACATTAGAGATTCTAAAATGTTCTCTCCCCATCAGGGCTCTTTCCTGGCCACTTGCAGGCAAGCAAGCACACAGCACTCAGGGGTCCCGCTGCCTCTGGACTTCCACGCACTGCGTCTGGGGTCAGGCCAGGAAGGAGCAGCACCCAAGGGGAAAGCAAGACTTGCATTTTATCCATTTAGACTCTACCAAATGCGTGATTTAAAACGAAAACTCCTACAACGCTTGAAACAGATGCATGTACAAAACCTCACTCATCCTCCACTGCCGCCAGGATTGGCCCTGCACACCCAGCAGCCCCCGTCCCGTTAACCCCGCAGGTAGGGCGCGCGCACAGGCCCTGGGGCGTTGATGTGCGGCAGCGCGCCCACAGCCAGCTTCTCGCTGAGTTTCTGGTTCGCCAGCTCCAGGTGGCGGCCCTTCTTGCGCGCCTGCCGCAAGGACCTCTTGACCTTCTTCACCCGCTCCCGGAGCTGCCGGTTGCGCTTCTCCAGGGTGGCCACTTTCTGCTGCAGTTTCTTCACATGGTCCTCCTCCTCGAACAGGGCCTTCTGCACGGAGGAGCACAGGAGCTGCAGACAGAAACACCGCGCAGGGAGAGGAGGTGAGTCCCAGAAACTGCTCTGGGGGCAGGGGAGTCAGCAGCTTCCCCGGGGGCTGACAGCAGCACAGACCCAGACCCCCGACCCCAGGATGGGGATAAACCCAGGATGTCCTTGACGGTGGCATTCTCTGCCCCCCACCCGGCGAATTCCGCCCTGGCCTCAAATATAGAGCCCTTGTTTTGCTTTCCATACTTGGCTCCCTTGGAAGATGTCGTCTTAAAAGGATATTCTGAATGTTTGTCATGCATAGCAAAAAGGAAAGAGCCCCGCTATGGTAACAGACCAAAACCAGAAATGCGCGCAGAAGGTGGACGGTTCCGTAGACACGGGGGGAGCCAGTAACCTAATTAACAAAGGCTGAGCCGCTTTCATCCGCAAAGACTGATCAATGTCGGTCAGCCCAACTGAAGGCGGGGTTCCCTTCAGCAAAAAGGGGCTCCGTTTGCTTCCTTCAACTGGGCTGGCCAGCACACAGTGTGGATGGTTCACAAGAAAGGAAACATCAGTATCTCTTAAACGGATGAAAAGACGCTTAACCCCACTCATAATAAGATAAATAGCAAATGAAAGCCACAGTGAATTACTGTTTTTCACAGATTGGCAAAATTGCAGTCAGGATTTGGGAAAACAGGTGCTGTCATACAGTGAGTACAGTGCTGGCTTCTGTAAAGACCAATTTGGCTCTGTCAAAATAACTGCATATACCCCTTGATCTAGTACTGTGGGACTATCTCATATAAATCCTCTCATATGTGCAAGCTGCCACATGTACAAATATGGCATTATTTGCTATATTAAAAGACTGGGAACAAAAATCTCCCTCGAGAGGTCTGGTTCAATACATTATAGTAAATCCATGCAATGCAAAGGTTTGCCGGTTTTTTTTTTTTTTTTTTTTTTTAATTTTTTTTATTTTTGAGACGGAGTTTCGCCTTGTTACCCAGGCTGGAGTGCAATGGTGCGATCTCGGCTCACCGCAACCTCCGCCTCCCAGGTTCAGGCAATTCTCCTGCCTCAGCCTCCCGAGTAGCTGGGATTACAGGCACGTGCCACCATGCCCAGCTAATTTTTTGTATCTTTAGTAGAGACGAGGTTTCACCATGTTGACCAGGATGGTCTCGATATCTTGACCTCGTGATCCACCCGCCTCGGCCTCCCAAAGTGCTGGGATTACAGGCTTGAGCCACCGCGCCCAGCCAGGTTTGCCGTTTTTAAAGGAACAAGACAGCTCCGTGTGAATGGTATTGTAGCAATAGCTAAGTGGTGTTCATACTGAAAAGCTGTGCAGAATAGCGTGGATAGTGTGATGCCAAGAGTGTGGAATACGGTATCCATCTGTGTCTGTTTAAATATGCACACACTGTTTCTGGGGGAATATACCAGCAACTGGTAAGGATGGCAGGATCTGGGGAGCAGAGAGGACAGGAGGAAGAAAATTGATTTTCACATTTGTGCTTTTTGAATTGTGTATAGCAAAGGTTTGGCTGTGTCCCCACCTAAATCTCATCTTGAATTATAGTTCCCATAATCTCCATGTGTCGTGGCAGGGACCCAGTGGGAAGTAATTGAATCGTGGGGGTGGGTTTTTCCCGTGCTGTTCTCGTGATAGTGAATAAGTCTCAGGAGATCTGATGGTTTTATAAAGAGCAGTTCCCCTGAACGCTCCATTGTCTGCCGCCCTCTAAGATATGACTTCACGCCTCGCTTGCTTTCCACCATGATTGTGAGGCCGCCCAAGGCACATGAAACTGAGTCCATTAAACCTTTCCTTTATAAATTACCCAGTCTCGGGTATGTCTTAGCTGTGTGAGAATGGATTAGTATGGTAATAATGCTGGCATTTCCTTTAGGTGTGTGCATGCATATATGAAAAGAGGTATTCTCATCTCCAAGCTCCCACCCTCTATCATCAAAAGCTGTGTTCCCAAAGAAAGACTTGAGCCTCAACTTTCCTCTGTTTAGAAATCCATCAAGCCCCACTGTCTACACTGCAGTATGGTGGTGATTGGTTAGGTCAGACTGAGGCCAAGCTGCTTTGGTTTCCAGTCCCGCCTCTTCCCCTGACGAGTGGCCTGACCCTGGGCAAGCTTCCTAGACTCAGAGTAGTGGACTCTAGGCTACGTTAGCCAGAACCCACTTCAGTACTAAAGGATTTATTTCCCCAGCTTTTGGTGCGCTGCAGACTGACAGCCCTCAGCTGCGTCTGTTTCCGGACACTGAGCCTGACCAGAGAGCTGCCCAAGGTCCCGCCCCTTCTTTGGGGCACCTGCATCTAAGGACTGGTTGACCCAAGTGTGTGAATACCAAGGCTTCTCATTCCAACTTGGAAGATCTCTGAAGGGTGGTCCCCACCGCAGGGTGCCCTGGGGTGGGCTCCAGCCTTTGTTGAGGCTGGATCACAGGCCTACATCTGCCTCCGCCTGTTCCAGCTCTTTCCTCCCCAGGTGTTGATCCCAGGAGCATTCTTGAAAACACCTGCACGTCCTATTCCCAAGTATCTGTCTCTGGGAACCTGGCCATTCAGTGGGATAATCATGGTGGTTGAGAGGATTTCGTGAGTTTTGCTTGAAAAATGTTTAGAACCATGCCCTGGTGCGCAGGAAACGTTCACTGTTAGCCGTGATTACAGGACAGAGTCAAATCTCCTAAAGCCTTTAACTTGTGTGATTGGCCGCAGCCAACATCTCCAGTCTTACTGTTCATTCTTCTGTTCCCACACTTCACACCCGAAGCACACTGGCTCCCAGCTCTTCCTCCAGCACATCGGCCCTTTCTCATCCCAGAGGCTCTTCCTTCCACCTGGAGCGCTGTTCTCCCCCAGCTCCTCCTGGCCATCTCAGAAGCCCTCTGCGGTCCCTTTCACAAGGCATGTCACGGGTCCCCTCCTCAGTTTCCATGGCACCCTTTAGCTATTCACACCCACATGCCAAGTACCTGGGGGCACTAGGAGAATGTGACTGAAGACCCTGACAATCAGGGATAACAAGCTTTTGAAAGCCTGGTTCACATTGGTCTTTGCATCCTTGCTGCCCTGGCCATTTTAGGCCTACAATTTAAAAAAGCAAAGTGGAATATTCCAATAACACCTGTCAATAAATAAGAAACTCTAAGCTCCCGGGAAGCCACAGTTACAGGGGAGACCGTATGTGCAATACTGCCCTCTTCTGTCCAAAATGAGACACCCCCCACCCAAAGAAAACATGAGAAGGTGGGCACAGGAAATTCCTGGGAGCACTGGCAGTATTTCTACTGTCTGTGGATAGGTATTAGCTATGTAACTTAGGCTTTAATATGGCCAAGTATCAGCTGAGAACTGTATATTGACACCCTCTCATTAAGTCATGAGTTTTCTATAAGTTACGGTAGATTCTTGAAGAACAAGACAAAAGAGTCCAGGCAAAGTCCGTTACAACAAGGGGACTGGGGTTTTGCAGGGCTGCCCGTTCAAATTTTGAAAGAGAACCCACTAGCGGCTGGAACGTAACATGAACGAGGAGGTGAAGGAAGGCTCCATGACAGTCTTCAGAAGCTGTGCTTACAAATCGTAAAAACAAAAAACAAAAAAACAGGAGGATGAGTGATCACTTGTTAAGAGTTCTTTCTGGCCAGGCGGGGTGGCTCATTGCCTGTAATCCCAGCACTTTGGAAGGCTGAGGCGGGTAGATCACCTGAGGTTGGGAGTTCAAGACCAGCCTGACCAATATAGTGAAACCCTATCTCTACTAAAAATAGAAAAATTAGGCGGGAGTAGTGGCACATGCCTGTAATCCTAGCCACTCAGGAGGCTGAGGCAAGAGAATTGCTTGAACCCAGGAGGCAGATGTTGCAGTGAGCAGAGATCGTGCCATTGCACTCCAGCCTGGGTGACAGAGTGAGATTGTGTCTCAGAAAAGTTCTAAGACACAACACTCTTTGTAGTCAGCCATTGATTATAGACACAGCTGTTCTCCAGGGGAGCAAGAGGATGAATTTCACCTCCAGCAAGACTTAGAGCCCTTGACCCAGCTATGTGTGTATCTGGAGGGGGAGGTATCACTGAGATGGGAATGATAAATTCCCCAGCAAGAATGAATGTGGAAAGAGCAGATGGGATAAGTGGAGTTCCTTAGCAAACATGTCATGCTTTGGTCCTCATGGTCTCTAATGTGGGTACGGTTTGAGTAGGAGCAGAAGGCATCAAAGGACTCTAGCAACGTATGTGACATGACCAACGTAGCACAGCCATGACCCAGGACTCCTTAGCAGGCATGTGTGTATCTCTGCAGCAATGTGGGCCGTACCTCTGAGTAGCAAGAACCTATATTGTGTGAACTGAGGCTAATGTCATAAAATAACCAAGCCACTGTGGATGGAGACGATGGAAGCTTCCTGGATCCCAGCTATCACCTCAAAAGAAAATCCTGTGTTTCTTAAGAAAGCCAGGATTTCTAGAGGAGAGCTGTGCTTTCCAAAATGTGTGCTTAAGAAATGCTCCTTTCTTTGGAATGCTTTCCAAATGAAATCTATCTCCTTTTAAAATGGCTTACAAAAAAAAAAGGAAAGAAAAGGAAAAAAAATGGGCCAGACATGCTGTTTGCTCTTTTTGCTTTGTGGTATTTTTTGGTAACCTGAGAAGAGCAGGGGGAGGGCCAGGCCAGGCTGAAATAGGGACTGCCCTGTTTTATTTGAAGAAGAGCCAAGGAGAAAGTCCTACAGGGCAGCCTGAAAGCAACAGACTCCTCACAGGCAGCCCCACCTCAGGGCTGCAGCACTCTAGAGCCACCCACGTGCTTGGGTACCTCTGGCATTCCCCTGCCTCGGAGCTATTCTCTGGAAGTTTCCACGTGGCCAACAGGATGCCTGCCTCAGGGCGGATGGGAAGATTGCCCAGTGAGCCTGCTCTTTTATTTTCAAAAAGACAAAAGTTAGGCTGGGATATCCATTATTCCTTATCTGTCTAAAATAACACTTTTTCAAAGCAGCAAAGC